TTTTTATCAAATTTAATTAATCGTTCTAAAGTTGTAGTGCACGGATTTGACTTCGGTAAAGTTATTTAAAGCTGCTTTCTGATGTCAAAAACGACCTCCGATAGTTTTTTAATTTTTTTAATTAATAGATTTTATTATATATATGTTTAATTAATTAAGGGGGGTCGGAAATCGCAATAAAAATTATAATTTTTTAAAAATATTTAAAAATATACGTTTAATTTCAAGTCACCCTACTTTAAACCCTTCTCGTCCCGAGACGTCTATGAGAATGTCCCGGGAAATACGACACCAGCTGTGTTCAAGGTCATTCAGCTGTGTAAACAATGACTCGTCGATGTTATATTTCACAGAAACACGAGAGAAAGGAAAATAAAACTTGAAGCTTTTTCTTCAAAATAAACGCATTTCTTTCGTTTTTTTCCAGTTTTAAGTATTTTTTACGTTTAATTAAATTAATGATTATAAAATATCAAAAATCTCAATGTCCTTAAGGGGTTAATCATTTATAATTATTGCGTTCTGTTTACATCAATAGCGTTTTTTTCTCGTCGCGGTTTCACATGACTAGCACAACTAATCCGATCTTCGATCGGTTTTTAACAATGGACGATTTTTATAGTTTCGTTTTACCAAATTACTATAATAAATGTTTAATTTCAACCCATTTTTGGAACCTCACATGTTGCTTTAAAACGAATTTTTCCATAAAGACGTAATACTGTAATGTTACGAGGTAAAATTATGAATAAAATTAAACATAAAAAGACTTAAAGTTTTATATTCTCCTACCAAGAGAGAAGTGCTATTATTATTAGTAATTGAACGATCTGTAATATGTATAAGTATACAACCTAAAGCCCTACACAAACATTATTGTTTATATTAATGCATTAGTTATGTTAATGCGTCAGTAACGTGACATACTCAACTATAATATTGTCTGGATAACATTATTTTGAAAACGATGTTTTAAATAGTTATGGACTAAAGACGGAATTTGAAGCTAAAACCTCCTCTTACTCACAATCAATTATAGGCGGAGGGGACGTAATGCTTGTTAAGGGAAACTACTCGGTATTATTTTCTTACCGATGCAACATTAAAATCCAGTACAGGTTTGAAATCAGAAGACAATTTCTAAAATGACTGCACACAAGCTATTTTAAATGGAATGGAATGGAAAAGCTAAATTTAAGCCAGAAATAATTCAAAATCATAACAAATTTATGAGCGGGGTCGAAATATCCGATATGGTGTTATATATATGTTATGATAAAACTAGGTCAAAGAAGTATTGGAAAAATTTAGCTTTTAACGTCATAGCCAGGATGACGTTGAATAGTTACATGCTTTACAAAGAGAGTTTTGCGGGACGAGGGAAAGTTAAATCTCGAGACGCGTATCACGTAGCGGTAATCGAGAGCTTGGCGGAGGAGTGGATGGCCACAAAGTCGACTACAAACAACTCTCAAGAATCAGAGGATGGAGAAACTTACGAGAAGAAGGAAAGCCCGTAGCTGTGTGTGCAGCAGTAATAGCTTAAGGAGGCGGTCACGAACTGTTTGCACAAATTGTAAGGATAAGCTACGTGAAAAATGTTTCTTGTAGTGTAACAACAAAAGGATCTGCACAGTTTAATATAATTCTGTCTTAAAAAGATATGGATGCATAAATTTCACAAAAAAAATTGTACAAAATGATATTTATTTACGTACAGATTTGGTCCTTGATAATCTGATTTTGTATTTTTGTGTATTTTGAAATATAATTTTACAGTGATATTAATTGACATACATTTGACGTTATCACAGTGTGCTACCAGAGAAGAAGGTACAAAAATTTGGATGCAAGCAGAAATGTTTGATATAATGTGTTATCATTTGGAAACAAATAAGACTGTTGTTGACATGCATTTTATATGGAAATGTACAGAACAATGTTTTTACTGTTTCTAGGATAGTGCCAAAAATTTACGGATTTTATTTTATTTGGTAATTTTTTTTATATTAATGTGTAAATTTTAAAGTTATTAATGTAAGTTATCACTTGTTGTTAAAGTGACTTTATAATAGAAACAATTGAAAAATACTGTACTAATGACTACTTGTAGTAGTAATTATTTGATATTTTTTTACGTCTATAATAAAAATTAATTTTAT